GGAAGAAGGATGAGAAGGATTACCAGAAGCAGTAGCTTGAGCTCTTCCTGCATGCCTAGTTCTCAGCTTTTTGACTTTGGAGGGGTCAGTTGCCATTTCTCTGAGAGAGTGATCTCCAGGACTTCAGAATCTATGCATGTGGTGATTGCTCGAGAATCTCGGTCAGATGATGAAGATGAAGAGGTCGCCTTGGTTGAAGATGATGTTTGAGACATTTTGATTGACTTAGAGCACCAGTGGCAATTTGAGAGAAAACTTTGATTGAGAGAAAGGAATAGGTTGCAAAGACGAGAGAGGTAGGAGGCAAATGAGAGTCTATTCAACTTCTTAATAATTTTGAAAGTATTGGAAAAACATATGATTAACCTACTAAAAATAGACTTAACACAAATAACTCCTTCAACCCTTATTTTAAGCAAAATTAATTGCTATAATTTCTCATGTTGGCAAATACCCATCTTGCCCCTCAAGTTTTCAGGTTGATTTCCATCAAGAGCCTTGGTAGAAAAATCAGTCAGCTGAAGCTTAATGATACCATGTTCCAGTTTAATTGTCTTCTTCTCTACAAGGTCAATGTGCTTGGTCCTGCTATGCTGAATAGGGTTCTTGGAAATATTGATTGTATTCAGATTGTCATAATATAATGTCACAACATCTTGTGAGACATTATACTCAATGAGCATCTGTTTTGTCCAGATATTTTGAGAACAGCTACCACCAGCTGCAACTATTTCAGCACAGAGTTGAGAAGGCATTCTTTTGACATGAATCATAGCTCTGGCAGATTCCTGTATGATCCTATTTTTCCTTCTGCCAACTCCATTTTGATGAGGAGTTATAGGAGAAGAGAATTCATGACTCATTCCTTCTGAGAAACAGAATTTCTTAAACTTGTTGTTTCCAAATTCCTTGTCATGATCACTTCTGATTCTAACAATACATCTTTCTTTTTGAGTTCTTTTGCACAGTTCTTTAGAAACTTCAAGGTTATTCACCACATCATAGACATATCTCTTTTTACCAAGCCTTTCCATTTGATGTTCACCACAAACCCTCCTTTTATCAATTTGCAGTCTTGGAATCCTTCTGACTGCTTCCATAAAGATAATTCTTTTCATTCTTCTTAGATGAAGATGGCCAAGTTTTTGGTGCCACAGTTTCACCTCTTTTTCTTCTTTGGTCATAGAACACATAGTAGAGTTATTAGTGTTCTCAGGCTGCCACAAGTAACAGTTGTCTTTAGATCTGATTCCTTTCATCACAACTTCTTGTTTTTCATTTAATACAAGACATTCAGATTTTGAGAAGATGACTTTGAATCCTAGATCACACAATTGACTGATACTAATGAGATTAGCAGTCAGGCCTTTTACCAATAGTACTTCATTCAGATTTGGAACTTCAGGACAGTCCAAATTACCAACTCCTTTGATTTCACCTTTGGCACCACTTCCAAAGGTCACATAACTAGATGTGTGAGGTTTAACATGATTGAGAATATTCTTGATTCCAGTCATGTGCCTAGAACACCCACTGTCAAAGTACCAACCTTCCTTTGCAGAGACTCTCAGGGAAGTGTGGGCTATCAGGGCAGTAGCCTTTTTCTTCCATTGAGGAGTATGTGGTACCCTTTTTGACTTAGGTTTAACACTTGGGCTCTGATTAGGGTATCCATACAATCTGAAGCAGAAAGGCTTAATGTGACCATACCTCCCACAATGATGACATCTCCATCTTTGGTACTTTTTCTTCATATATCTCTGTTTCTGATGTTGAGAGTTGTGTTGAGACATCTGCTTTGACATTTGTTTAACAGGCCTGATCTTCTTGTCTGCACCAGATTTCTTAGCTTCCACAAATCCTAGTCCAGATTTGTTTCCCATATTTTGTCCAACCTGAAGGATCTCTTCCAATTTGTCTGTTCCATTTGTCAGCATCTTGACAGATTTGGTCATTTGATTCAGTTGTGAGTTCAGCAATTGAACTTCCCCTTCTAGATGACTTATAGTTTCAAGGTCTGCCCTTTTTTCAGCCTCCAGCTTTATGATGAGTTTTGATTGTTTCTCATTCTGCACACAGACTTCAGCACTTCTGATACACAATTTCTTGTAAGTATCAGCCAGTTCTTCAAATGTCACTTCTTCATCACTAGTGTCACTTTCAGAGGTACAAACACCAGTTAGAGCAGTAACTAGTTTGGCAGATTCTTCTTCAGAATTACTTTCTGAATCACAGTCAGACCAGGTAACATTCATTCCTTTCTTTTGTTTCTTAAGAAAGGTAGGACATTCAGCTCGAATATGCCCATATCCTTCACAACCATGGCATTGAATTCCTCTGCCTTGATTTCCCTTCTCTTCTGACCTTGGTCTTCTGCTGGAACTGTCAATGTCAGAGGGAATGTTATGAACATTAGACCTTGACTTTGGATCTATTCTTTTGATGAGTTTGTTGAACTGTCTTCCAAGCATGGCTATAGCTTCTGAAATATTTTCTTCTTCATCCTCCTTGTTTTCAACATCAGTGTTGGATACAAGTGCTATGCTCTTGTTCTTCTTGTCACCATTTTCAGTGATCCCCATCTCAAAAGTCTGAAGAGACCCAATAAGTTCATCCACTTTCAACTTGCTGATGTTCTGGGCTTCCTCTATGGCAGTTACCTTCATTGCAAATCTTTTAGGCAAGGATCTGAGAATCTTTCTCACCAATTTTTCTTCTGACATCTTTTCTCCCAGTGCTCCTGAGGTGTTGGCAATCTCCAAGATGTTCATGTGAAACTCATGAATGGTTTCATCTTCCATCATTTTTAGATTCTAAAACTTGGTAGTCAACATCTGAAGCCTTGACATTTTTACTTTGGAAGTGCCCTCATGGGTAGTTTTGAGAGTGTCCCAAACTTCCTTGGCCAGTTCATATTGATGTACTAGTCTGAAAATGTTTCTATCAATTCCATTGAACAAGGCATTTAAAGCTTTGGAATTTCCCAGGGCTAACTCATCTTCTTATTTAATCCAATCTTCCTCAGGCTTCAGATTGATTGTCCCATCTTTCTCAGTTATGGTGGGATGGTTCCATCCTTTGTCAGCAGCTCTCCAAGCCTTTTTATCCAGAGATTTTAAGAAGGCAATCATACGAGGTTTCCAGTAGTCATAATTTGTTCCATCCAGAATGGGTAGTCTATTTCCAAAAACTCCTTCTTTGTCCATAGTGCCAGAAAGTGATATCCCTAGATCTCACCCAGTAATACAGGCAGGGTGCCTGCTCTGATACCAATTGAAATTCTGGCTGCAGATACTCAATGTCACGTTCAATGTTATGACACCGTATCTGACTTTCTATAAGACAGTAAATACAAAAACAGTAAAGAACACAGTCAATTGTTTACCCAGTTCAGTGTGCAACAACACCTACTCTGGGGGCTACCAAGCCAGGGAGGAAATCCACTATAAGAGATATTAATTCAGGAATAAACCAACCAGTTTATCTCCTTCACTTAAGACCTACCCAATGCAACTTCAATCTAAGTACAACTTAAACCTGAGTTCCTGCTCACTCCCCCTCAATCACAGCAGTGATACTTAAAACAATTTGACTAATGAATTGATGAAGACACTCTTCAAAACATACACTTGATTATGCTTCACAGCTTTTTAATCAAGCAACACAAACACTCTTGCTTCACAGCTTTGAGTGATACATAAACCTAACTTGACTTTGCTTCAAAGCTTTAGTCAAGAGACACAAAAACACTCTTGCTTCAAAGCTTTGAGTGGTACACAACCCTTACAATTAAAACCTATTCCAAGTCACTTATCACAATGATACTTGCTTGGATTACAATAGTTAAAACTATACAGCTTCTAAATGATCTTCTGTCAGAAAGGGGTTCATTCCAAACAGAAGCCCTGTTGAATATATAGCAGCTGCATCTTCAGTTAGGGTTTCCACAAAAAGCTAGGGTTAATTCCGTTTGACCTTAAGACTTGGTCACAGGACTTTATCAACCAGGTTAGGGTTGAGCTAGGTTAACCCCAAGTCCACGAGATTTTTTGTTCTAGAAAGACTGAGTCATTTTCCTGAAAAAACTCAGAATTACCCAAACTGCATAACTGTTAGTTTAGAACAGGATGTCTTAACATTTGTTATGACATCTGAAATCCTGTCTACTGATTTTGGTAAATGTGATCTTTTTGCAAAATGCTCAGATACACACTCATAAACAGCAGCACCTGTAAGACAATATTTTTCTGCAAAGGTACCTAATGAATCAGTACCTAATAAACTAGAATGTTATGACATCAGTCATGACATTCACACACCTGGTTTTACCAAAAATGCATGCCAATAACTAAACAACTACAAGAGGGGATATACAAATTTCCTATGGAGGAGGTTGACTTGAAAAAATTTAAGAAGCCATAAGAGAATGATAAGAAGGGGACACCGAGAAGTTACCATCCTTAGCAAGCTTCCAAATTCACATATCCTTGTCTAAGGAAAAAAAATACCCTTGAATGACTGAGAGGAATTCAACGAAAAATAGTTCCCTATGAAAAATGAAATGCCTCTTCACCTGAAGTACCAAATGAGAGTCTCATATACCAACCTCTCTACCTCTCCCATACTCCCCTCGATATATTAAATGATTATAAACAATATATGAAACCTATCCTTAAGGTGTATACTCCTAATCTAAGGGTCAAACCAAAAATAATTTTGAAACCCTGATCTGACCTTCATAGTGATACCATCCACAAACCAATCTAAAAGGTCTTCTTATTTAGAAACAACAAGGGAAACATATTTCCACTAGGAGGAGGAATACTAGAAGCCTGGGTCTCTACCAACTTTTAAAGATGAGAAAATAACTGCACCATAATGGACGACTAGGATATCATTCCAAATATAAGAGGCGCCCAAAATAAGACTCCACCTCCACTTAGCCAAAAAAGATAAGTTGACTAGACAAATATCTTTAACCCCAATACATATTTACTCTTATGCTTACACACATTAACCAAACTGACCCACCAGATTTAATAATCACCCTTAACTCCTCCTCGAAAAAATTATCTTTGAATTTGAACTATTTTCCTCCAAAGTTTTACGAAAAAATTGAAAAATATAGGAATAAAATACGGATAACATTAAGCACAAAGTTAAGCAACCCCTCTCCCCCAAGATAACAAACTCGTGCTTCCATGAATTGAGCCTCTTAGTTAACAAATTAACAAGGGGGTCCAAAGTAAATTCTCAAATTGGAATAACGCCAACTGGAAGCCCTAGATATTTAAAAGGAAGGATCTCAATTCTATAATGAATAAAATCACCAGCAAAGTCTAAAATACCTAAGTCCGCATTGACCCCTATCAGACTACACTTAACAAAATTTACCTAGAGGAAAAAAAAAACTCAAAATCCATAAGCACAACCTTTATAATCCAAAGGTTATCCACAGATGGATCCACTAAGATAAGGGTATCATTTGAATACTAGAGATGAGACACTACCAAATTTGAGGCTCATATCCTAAAACTAGCAAGGAGACCTAAATCAATGGCCCTACTAACCAAACCACTTAACCCTTCAGCCACTAGCAGAAAGAGAAAGGGAGTTGCGGGGGTCTCGTTGCTTTAAACCTATTTAAATACTAATCTATTGAATGGGACAACCATTAACCAATACTACAAGATTCCTAGCAAAATCACAAGCTCTAATACAAGAACTCCACTTATCATTAAAACTAAATCTAACCATCACATACTCCAGAAACTTCCAACTAACTTAATTATAAGCTTTCTCAAAGTCTACTTTAAAAATGAGAAAATGATTCCTAGATTTCTTAGCCATGTTAACCACTTCATTCACAACCACCACACTGTCCACCAACATTGTACCTTTTAAAAAGGTAGATTGATTAGGGGAAATAAGTTTTTCAATAAAGTTCCCAAGTCTAACAACTAAAACTTTAGCCACTAACTTGTATAAAGAACCAACCAAAGAAATAAGACTAAAATATCTTAACTGAACATGAGATTTATCTTAGGAGACAACATGATAAAGTAAGATGCAAAGGAGCGAGGTAATGAAGCAAACCGATAAAATTGATCCAACATAACCCTAACATATTGCCTTAAAAGATTCCAAAACCCTTTAATAAATAGGAAACCCCCACCAGGGCCAGGACTCTTGTTACCATCATACAAGACAATAATACCATATAACTCTTGAAGAGTAAAAAGAGTATTCAAGGTAAGGTTATCCTCAACATAGATAGACAACGAGTTATCCCATCTAGGCGGAGTCTGTCAAAATTAGGCTCCTTGGAAATCTTAGAAAAATAATCGAATACTTCTTGCCTAATCTCAAACACCCACTCCAACCAAACATCACCAATCTCAAAGTCTAGAATATCAGTCTTCCTACTCTTACTCATGACTGAAACGTGAAAGAAATCAGTGTTAGAACCACCTTCCTTAAGCCACTTAGATTTGGATCTCAAGTACAATTGAGAATCTTTGATCCTTAACAACCAAAGTTCTGCCAAACTTCTAAAACAAGTCTGAATCTCTTCCTCAAATAAATATCCTTTATGATACATAACATACAATTTCCTATCTTCCTTCGGAAAAGAATCAATATGAAAGTATAAGTTGCCAAACACTTTCTTATTCCAGCCTTTCAAGATCAATTTAAGGGCTTTGAACTTCTCCAATAAAATAAAATCATTCCAACCTTGAACAGAAGAACTAGATCAGGAAGAAAGAATAACCTCTATGAAAATGAAATGAGATCACCATTGGTTTTTAAACCAAAAAGATTCATGCCCCTGCAATTGATTATAATACTTGAGAATGATAGGGTAATGATCAGAAACAATCCTAGGGAGAGCCCACCGAATCATCACCCCCTGAAAGTCCCACCAAACACTAGAGACAAGAATCCTATCCAACTTTCTAGTGACACCATCCTAAGTCTTAAACCAGGTGAATTTCCTACCTATAAGAGGGAGATCAATCAAATTCATTTGATAAATAAAGTTAGAGAAATCCAAACAACTAGCACTACCGGAAGAAATAAAAGAACCCTTACACCAAACCTTTCACCAGGACAAAAAATAGAGTTAAAGTTGCCTAGAACATCCTAAATATCTCCTCCAAATTTGAATTTAAGTGAACCAATGTCTATCCATGTTACCTCTCTATCAGACATGAGACATTTAGAGTAAGCATTTACCACAAAACATACAGTCTTAGTAACTCCCCATTCTAAAAAAACACCAAGAAAACTACGACCTGAGAAAGAAAAAAAGATCTACCTTAGAGATGCACCAAGTAGAAAGAAGACCTCCTCTACTACCAATAGACAGAATGAAACTCTAGTCACATAATGGATTACCCCATAAATAAGCCACAAGAGCTTCAGAAAACTCAACCAACTTGGCCTCTTGAATAGCCAAAAAATCTAAGCAATTAGCTAAGATAAGATTCCTCACCTTATTTTTCTTAATCATTCCTCTCACACCTATAATGTTAAAGAAACATATAAAATTCGTCTACAACCCATATTTGACTTAATGGACTTTAGATTTCAATCTCAAGTTTCTAACACCATTAAATTCTCAACCTCTACAACATCTCTCAACTGATAAGCGCAATATAGCTGCTTTATTAACTTATGGAGCTTAGATGCTAAAATAATTTGTAAACTACCGGAGATCCAAAATAAGGACTGCATGGGAGACAATAAACGTGAAAAAATTGGAGTAGAAAAACCATATAAACACACATATAAAGAAACCCCCTGAAAACTCAAGAATCCTTCTAGAATTAGTGTAAGAACACTATCCTAAAGACAAAAACCAATAAAAGTATGAGATTTAACAGTACTTGAGTATGGAATAAGAGTGGAAATAAAAGAAGATAACTTATCTAGAATAGACACCAAAACCAAGTCAGACGATCAATCCTTGTGAGGTGAAGTTGAAGAGAGATGAAATAATATAGAAGAATATGCTTTATTAAAAGAAGAAAACACAATAAATAACATTGGTTTGGAAAAGAATTCAAATCTTGTTTTAAAATACAACTCTAATCAAAGTAAAGACTCAATTTAAAAAGAGAAAAATAAAATATATAATTAATAAGCCAACGAATAAGAGATGAATTTGCTAATAACTTATAATCTTAAATACTCTTTTGATTCCCCTATTTAAATATTTTTAACTATTTGTACCTCGTTTAAATAAATGAAAAACCAGCTTTTTGGCCCTTATTATTCACATGCCTTGTTTTTTGTGGCCCCCCTTGATAAAACAATAATCTTATGATGTGGCGTTGATTTTACAGTGCTATGTGGCGCCACATCATATAATTTTGTCATATCATATATTTAAAAAACAAACATTAATTTTATAATATTATTTAATTATTATAAATGTAATTATATTTAAAATTAAAATAAAAAAATCTTAAAATTTTCTAATTTTTTTAAACAACAATTAAATTATTTTAAATTATTATTTTTATTGAATTTTTAAGTAATTAGTATATTATAGGCAATTAATTATAGAAATTTTAAGAAATTATTGAATTATATTGGCCAATAAAAGCTTACAAACATTATGTCCTTACCGAAGATCCAAACGTTGGAAAGAGAAATGAAGATCTCAAACATTCTTGTACGGGAATTTCTTTGTACGCCTCTTAGGGGTGGGAAAAAACCCCTGAAAACCCAAAAACACCCTTTGAAAATATATCTCCGAATGCACCTCAAATTAAAATGTTTCAGAGATGTATCTCTGAATGCATCCAAAATCAAATTTTTGGAAGAATTCGGAAATGCACTTTCGAAAATACCATTTTTCAAGCCAAACGTTAAATTTAAACATTCAGGTATATTTTCGGAGATGTACTTCTGAAACTATGCAACTTATACCACCTTGCTGCATGAACTATTTCATTCTCTTTAACTCATTACATAACCAAAACCCTTTAAAAAACTCAATCCATTGTCAATCAATTTTTCGTCTCCAAACCGAGTTTCAAGTGTTTTATCATGTCAAAGAGAGCATATAAACCTGCAATTTAAGGTAAACTTTCCTCATTTCATCTCTCAATTCCTTGCAATGTTGCTGATTTTTGAGATGAAAAACTACGTCACTTCGGAAATGTATTTCCGAAACCCACCTAACCTATTTCGGAAATGTATTTCTGAAACTGCCTGTTATAAAAACAAAATTATTAACAATTTTTTTATTTGTTTTTGGCCGTTTTAGATATGGTGCACCACAACATGTTTTCTAAGGATGTTTCGGACAACGTGAATAATGATGCTAAGCCGAATAAGGTGAAGAATGATATTAAATCGGTTGTTGTCGACATAGATGTTGGACACCAATTCGTAAATGATCACGTTTTCAATGATCGACAACATTTGCTTGAATGGGTCCGAATGAAATCTAGCAAACTTGGCTTTGGCGTTGTGATTGGAAGGTCCGACAATGGAACTAGTTGAAGGAAAGAATTTGTAACCATGACATGTGAAGGGGGACGGTAATTGTGGGTTTCGGGCCGTATCCGGTTTACTTGGTAAAGGTGAGGAGAACCACATTATTGTGCGACAAACACTTATTTCAGAATTGACGGTGCATAGGGAAGATTACACACGACTATACAAGAGTAAGGAAGGTTTCAATCAAATTTATAACACTCTTGTTCCATGTCTTACCGGTTCCGTACCACCTGACAAGTGGATGTGCTTCCCTGAAATGGGCCATCTTATAGCAAGTGCATATGACAGGGTGTGTATCGATCTCACGAGATATGGTTTTTCAGAAACATTTTTTCCACTAAGAAGTCGCCCACCTCAAGACACATTCGGCTACATGTTCTGTATTGGGTATCTTAGATCGCTCCATTTTGTTCAAGTATTTTTGAAGGTGGGGTGTCCTATTTCGGCTACGTCAGTGCAATGGGCGACACATTCTGCAAAAGAGGCGGAAACTTGGCCGAATCAATTTTTGGAAAGGATGGCCGAATTCATCAAGTTGTCGGAACTTGAGAGAAAATCAAATAGGGAGAAGTCGAAGAAAGAACCAATTTTAGATTTAAGCGATAACCATTCGTTCGGTATATTTTAGAATGTAATTGAATCATTTTTTTGTATGTATTGTCGTGCACAGTTTAATCAAATCATTTTGGAATGTATCTATACGATTCAATACATATATAATATATATATTCAACATTTGACTGATTTATACATTTTACCAATTTATACTTTTACCAGTTAAATTGTGAATTTATCTTTGATTGGTATTAATTCTTCCAAGATAGAGTTCTGTCTCTGCATAATTCAGAAATATATTTTTGAAATTAAAAAAATAACAATTAGGAAATGTTTCAGAAGTGTACTTCAGAAATCACCATATTTTTGTTAAAAAATAAGGGGTTGTTTCGGAAGTGTATTTCCAAAACATGCCCTGACGCTGGATAAGAATTCTTGGGACCAAAAATCTCCAAATCTTCTATAAATAGGGTGTCTAAACCATTTCTTCAACATCATACACCATAAATCAGACATCACACAACACAATTCAGATATGACACAAACATATCCTCACCTTGCTTTTGTTTACTTCAATATTGTGAAACCGCCACTTCTATTTAGGTTATGCGAGAACACGTCTCTCGTCAAGCTCATTACCATACTCAACTCCCTCTTGCAATATCCAAAAAATCAGAGGATAGTCAAGCTCGAGTATGGTTCACCATCACTTGACACTGAAGGAAAGGTCAAGTTCACCAAGTTTGAGCTGAAGAAGGATGACGATTTAAAGGTTATGTGGAGTACTTTTCATCGATACTCTACTAAGCGTCCGATTGAATTGGATGCAAAGATTCAGAGATCCGATGAAGATGATATCAAAATTTTGTGACGTCCTCAGTTACCCATTTATAACAATATGTAATGTTAAATTTATGTTTCAATATCTATGTAATTTCGACTTTCAATGTTAAATTTATGTTATTGTTTATGTAATATCTATGTAATATCAATGTTTCAACATATATGTTATATCTATGTTCCAAGGTCATTGTTTCAAGGTTTATGTTCTGGATAAATCATTCAGTGTTTATTTTGGAAATGTACATTCGAAATAAATCATTGGATATCTTCGGAAATACATTTCTGAATTCACCTCGGAAAACAATATTTTATAACTTCGGTAATACATTTCCGAAATCACCCCAAAAAAATGAACTCTGATGCGTTCGGAGATATATCTTTAAATTATAAGGGTAAAAATAAAATTTCGTCAGAGGTGGCTAAAAAGATGTAAGGGTGGGGAAATAAATTTCCTTCTTATAATATCTCTGTTTTACCAACAAATCATAAAGGAGAAAAAACTTTTGTCCTCATTTGATTGTACTTAAATTTGGTAGGTAAAGAACTTACCAAATTGATTTAATTATATAGTTGGTGTATTTCATAAACTTTTAAATTTAAAGATTGATATCAATGAGTAGTCACGAAAAAAATTTATGTGGGTTACATTATTTAAAAAATAAATATAAAGTGGTGATATTAGAATGAATTTCAATAGATAAAAAATAAGCATTAAAATTAGAATATTAGAGTTTTTTTTAAGTTAGTTCAGTTGACAGTTGTGTAGGGTTATCAGATGTAGGAGCGTGCGTTCGAAATTACAACATTCCACATTCATCTTTAAAATGTGAAATTTCAGTCACTAGACTATTTGACCAAAAAATAGAGTATTCAAATCACCATGATTTGAGTTTGGTCGAAAGAATTAGACTTTTACAACGTGACAAATTAATGTTAGAATTATAATTAAGTGATGTATCTACATTTAGTACTAAGCGTATCTCGAATGAGATTATTTTCGAAGATGACTCAAGCTATTATATCCTTTTCGAGCAGGAGTCAAGGAATGGTTTGCTTCATTGAGAGCAGCCACTATCTTAGATAACAACACAACTAAGATTTCGTTCTTCTATGTCATTTCTTGCACAAGCAACTTCACTTCGCAACGATTCTCAAATGACTCCATAGTGGCTTTTATGCGCGAACGTAGGCTAGAGCTTCTCAAATATCTTCCCAATATTTATCTTGTCTGATGGTAAGGGCATTAACACGTTCTTTGAGCACTTTTTTCTCCATCTGAAGACGGTCGAACAAGAAAACTTCTCCTCGTCCGGCGGCTCTAAAGGCAAAGACAGCTGATGCCCGACGTGTATATTAAGTCAAGTTTGATAAATCCTCATAGCGAGATTCTTTAGATTTGTTTTAGAAATAAGAAAAATATTTTTCAAAGATAGGAGATCAAAACTCCGTAACCTTCCTCGGACCAGGGCAGACCATCAATTTAGGATGCAACCAAGTCAAAACCGACACATGATTCCTCCACGGAGCCCAGTTTCCATGAATCCCACGCTAGAAGTCGAGGAAGTTTAACAAGCGACCTCTCCACTTGAAGCTCCTAAAAATGGGGGTGATTTATAGGTTTCCTTCATTGTCAAGTTGTGATGAATACATAACATCCATCGTCGTAACCCGGTTAGACTAATTTTAGACTTCCATCTGTGCTAGAGTAGGCATGCCCTAGGTAATCAAAATAGTAGGGCACATGTAGTCGAAACCTTTCCAATGGCCAGGATATTGGTAACACGAACCAAGAGAGGGGCCTCTCGAGAAGTCTTCCTTGTTTTCTACATTGTTTTCTCACATTGCTTCTTATATGCAGTGAAATAACAAATATGTTATAGAAGAAGTCATCAAGAGTACTAAAAAAAAGAGAAAATCCCTCAGCATGCTTATCAAAAATATACTTCCTGGCCTCTTTCAAGCCGACTTCCACCAGTAGACGCATTTCTATGAGTCGCTTAAATTGTTTCTTCGATGTTGTATCAAGAGGGGTAACACCCCATTATAACTTAGAGCCTCGTAGAAGGAAACCACATGCCTGTTCAGAAAGATGTATTTTTGAGTCAAATAGACCATCTTATAAACATAGGATCCTGATTTGACCAAGAAGTGGCGTTGCCTTCAGAACTAGGAGAATATGCCTGAACTTTGGCAAGGTGACCTAGGATTTATTGAACATATTATAACATGAGCTTTTTCATGGTGAAAGGTGACTAGGAAAAACTTATTTTTAAAATGTTTCACACTATCTAAATAAACATCAAATATATTGGCACACTATAGATGACATATCAAGCTTTGGCCCTTTGATGAAACAATCAAACATGGCCAAACCTAGAAAATGCGAAAGAAGAGTGTTTGGGTTGGAACACACCCTGGTAGTCACATTAGTATTCGAAGACTTTAACATAAACATAGCTCACCGGGTGCAATTGCAAATTGGTGACTAACAAATAATTAAGAGTACTGATCTCAAAATTATTAAAAGGGAGACAGAAACCTACTAAAGAAAACAGACATTATGACACATCTGTCATATCTGTTGCACACCATGTTCTCTTCCTCATATATGTACTCCCCAGTCATACGAAGGTTCCACCTCAATTAAATCATGATCTAAGTCGCCCTCAAAGACAAAATTGAAGTGGTGTCTAACGTCTTATAATCCATCCACACAGACAAATTGTGCCCTTTTTCCTTACGAAGTAAAGTACGTGGAATTTCCATTATAAAGGATGTTGTCAACACAGAAAAGGTGAGTATGAATAAACAAAACTCTGACCAAGCATATAAATGAAGCTCAAACATCAAAAATCCACTTTCTAGAAATCCTAACAGATAAGGAAACAAAAGCAAGAAAATGATATTGACTTTACCTTAGAAGAAATGGTTTAGTTGCATATGCGTAGTGAGTACCAACAAACGAGGATCACAAAGGAACTTGACAAGGGCATTAATGTAGAAGAGCTCACGAGAAAGAGAGAAGTTTGTAAGATAAATGAGAAGATATTTTGCAGGTTGCAAATGGAAAAAGGGGAAAATGATGTTTCATAAACCTTTTTTTGTGTGCCTTAACCACAAAGAACCATATGATACACTATGAACCACCAAAGATTGAGATTTTATCGAAAGTTACTCAAAAGTACTCAAACACCTTAAAGAAGAAGAAAAAGTGTCGTTACCAACTAATGTAGGGACATACATCAAAGATTCCCTACAAAATATTATATATTACAAGAAATGCATTTAATGAAGATATTTCCAATGATGGTGGCATCCCATCAAGAGCTTTTCATCTTCTCAGGCTAATTAATTTGTCTAGAGTATATATGACAAACCCTCATTCTGTAAAACAACGACAAGGATTTGAAGCGCAACTGTTCTGAGCCGCTTACAATATCCAAGACGAGGGCCCAAAGCGAACGCGAGGAATAGGTAATCCGCCATTCTCTCCTTAATTAGACAATTCGGTCTAGCAAAGCATTGCTAACAATCTTGATCAATCAAATGACTGTATGCACAAAACGCCACACTCATTTAGACGGTTTTAACTGTTCTCTTTATATAAGAGAGAAAACATATCATTCTCAAGTATTCAAATTCATTTTCATTCTCACATCATATTTCATTCTTTCGCCGACTTAAACATTAGAGTGTTAATCTTGCAAATCAACCATTTTCCACCACACCGAAAGCTCAAATTGACCTAATAAAACACCACTTCATCGTTCAACAATAAACTCTAACTCCACAACCGAACAACCGTGTAATTTATTATCATTATAGTGTAAATGCAATCATTTATTCAATTTGAACCATTACTTTTTTTATTTACTACTATTATCGCACTCAATAATATATCATCCAGAATGCATCCATTTTTTTATTAACCATTAAAATGAGTGGAAAAATTGTAAATGAGAAAAAAATATGTATAAAAAACATAATTAAAAATTCTATATATTTACTTCTTTAGACTAATACAAACCATAAGATTGGTTACGATGGAATGCTTCTGCATCCTCCAAGTGAAGGGTGATAGGAAAATAACTGCAAACATGTTTACATATGAATCTGAAATATAGAGAAAGAAAAACAGTAAACTCGTGTATTTTCTTTATATTTTTATTATCATTTCCAAAAATGGAAACAGTTAAGGTAAAAAAAATAAAGGCCAAAATTAATTACCTGGACAATTTCTGGCCCAGTAAACTGTTCTTGTCCACAGGAAGAACCATAAACAGTATCGTCAAACCGAAAACCCTAACATGCAAATTAAGTTCTAGTTTGATTAACACTATGAGTAAAAATAATTGAAGCAAAATAAAAGAAAAAGAAGAAGAAGAAAAAAACCTACAAAGGTGATTTTGAGAGAGGAAGGAAGAAGAGAGCGAAGAGTATGAACACAAGATTGAAATGAATTGTTCCAATACACAAAGACAATGCAACAACAGATTTGAAAGAGTTACTTGGTTCGATTCGCAACACTTTTTCCATGTTTTGGTTTTGGTTTATGAAGAGAGTGGCTTTGTTGGAACTTGGAAATATATAAATAACACACTGTCTTAAATCAGTAGGTCATATTTCTTTGTTATATATTTATGATTTCTGACAAAAAAATAGTAAGACAGTTTGTTATTCCATCAATTTGAAAAAAAAAGAATTCTTCTTAATAAGCACAATTTGCAGTTATAAGTCTAATATCAATCAATGCAAAGAGAAAACGATAGTTGGATATTATAATGGTCTATATATTAGACCATATACATAACTAGTATGGCATTAATTGCTATGGCTTGAAATATGTGTGAGTAGAGTTTCTATTCTATGTTGTTACGGTTAGTTACACCACCACTAAATAACATATTTATTAAGGTGATGGCTTGAAATATGTGTGAGTAGAGTTTCTATTCTATGTTGTTACGGTTAGTTACACCACCACTAAATAACATATTTATTAAGGTGATAACAAGTAGGATGTGTTTGTCTTATGTAGCTCTATCAATTCTATCTACAAAATAGTATGGATAAAGGGATAGTTTAACATATACAATAATAGTCTTATAACTTCATATTATAGAATTGTCTTTAATATAATTTTATCGTATAAAGTGAAATAACATTCAGATTTAAGTCAATTTTATTCAATTTCATTTATGAAAATGGTGTCTTAACAAAGATTTAAATTATATCAATAGACAAATGTTCAAACATGAGGCCAAATACAGAAGGCATAAGAAACATACAGTAATAACTGACACCTCAACCAAACACAAAGTATGTGTTGTCGGTCTCCGATTTCTTTCCCACCGTCACATCTTATCGAATAATGTCTGCAAAATGTGTCGGGTTAAATATGAGCATTTTAACCGCTCACCATATATAAGCTTCACACACGTCAATTTTCACTATGCCAAAATTGAATTTAGACAGCGCCACATAGACAGCGCTTATGCCATAAGCGCTGCTATAGGTTTAAAAAAAAAATTAAAAAATTAGAGTAAGCGCTGCTAAAGGTATACCTTAGACATCGCTTACTAAAAGCGCTGCTAAAGGCCTTACCATAGACAGCACTTCCTTTCCTTAAGCGCTGCTATAGGTTTTCAATAAAAAATAAATAAAAAAATAAGAATAAGCGCTGCTAAAGGGTATACCTTAGACAACGCTTACTAAAAGCGCTGCTAAAGGCTTTATCTTAGCCAGCGCTTCCTTTCCATAAGCGCTGCTATAGGTTTTCAATAAAAAAAATAAAAAAATAAGAATAAGCGCTGCTAAAGGGTATACCTTAGACAGCGCTTACCAAAAGCGCTGCTAAAGGTGTGATAAAAGGTATACCTTAGACAGCGCTTTCAAGAAGCGCTGCTAAAGCCTTAAAGCGCTGCTAAAGGTAATACCTTTAGCAGCGCTTCTTGAAAGCGTTGTCTAAGGTAATTAAAAAATTTCTAAATCCCTAAATTGGTTATCAGAAACCCCACTTTATACAAAACCCCACTTTATACACGTAACTGTTCATCTTCGTCTAACTCGTCTCCTCCCTCCTCACCGTGGACGTGGTTCATCTTCTTCTCCAACTCGCTTCGTTCGGATTCGTTACCACCATCTCCACTATAAGGTAAAACTTCTTCTCCAACTGTTCATCCAGTGATTTGTTTACTCGATTTTCTTCATCCTTCTTGAAACAATGACTGGTTCAAGTATGAAATTGGAATCATGAAACACCTCATTTTATGTCCAACATAGACGGCGAGATAGCCTTTAGGGACTTCAAATCCCTTGGTAGATCCTTGGGTTCTTGAAAATGATGCTTTTCTGATTATACTTGTTATACGGAAACCCATTGCTTTTTTATGTTAAAAGATTAGATGAGAAATAGATATTGAGTTGTGATATTTTAGGATGTAACGAGACTTGTGTTGCTTGTGAAACCATGGAGTAGTGTGTATATATAGTTGTAATAGGGCCAAGTGAGGGAGAAGGGATCACATGGTATTGTCTAACAGAGGTCATTTTCAGGGATTAGGAAATTTAAGACAATGCAATGGTGAATGAAACCTGATGTCTGTTGTTATAGCTAATCCAATGGTAGACATGGTTTAGACATCTCACTTCACATGTTTCATCGAATTGACAATCCATCTAATATATATCAGATTTATGTGCAATTTTAGCTTGATATATGATTGATAGCAGCTCAGAAACAGTGTTTGGAGACAAGAAGAGAACCAATATTGAATACAAGATAACTAACCATATTTTATATTTTTGCATGACAAACTACATGAATTTTGCATACCAAAACAGAACTTTGTGGTCCCTTCCATGCTAAATAATTAGTAACAAGGTCAATTAAACTTCTCTCTAAGACAATCCAAATATACGACAAAACTTTTATGACAAATATACTGCATTGTTGTCAAATAACGATCAAACCGCTATTGTTCTCCGATATGTTATTTAGTAGAAAGTGTTGTCAAATAGCAACTATTGTGGCACACTCTGTTATTAAACTCGGCCGGTCAAATAGCAACTATTGTGGGGCTCTATGTTATTAAACACGGCCGCTCCGACCGTTATCTCGACAGGGAATAGCTAACTTGATTTCTGCAGGTGATAGTCAATATGTATTGTTTTGTATTGTCTGTGCATTTGCATTTATGCTTGTATGAAATGAGCTAGCAATTATCATGAATTGGAACTGGTTTGACCATGCCTAGGGTTGTATTTGGTGAATTGAATGAGGTGCATGACTGCTTTGAATTTGACAAAGCATCATCTGACCATACTAATTATATACTATCTTCTAATATGATTGTATGATCAATGTCGCACCAAGTGTTTGTTTTTTGATGTTTTGAATTCGCTATGGAACACTTTTTGGTGTCAACTGAGCAGTGATGTCTATTTGATTTGCATCTTTTTTTTTCCACTCTTTTGGTTTGTTAAGCTTATCATTTGACACTTCTAGCCTGATTTTTATATTTTGTCGTGTAAAATGCACACCTGTAGATAATAGGGATGTCATTTTTAGCCATATGAAATGAATAACAAATTAAATGACTTTTGGAATAAAGAATAAATATTGTACTGCATTTATCAATGAAACTTATGCAAGACATTGGTCAGAGATAATAACCTAGGGTGTTTTTATCAACTTTCATGAACAAAGCTTTTATATTTCTTAGTATTCAATTATAGTTATTAACACTAACAATTGTGATTTTTTGGTTTGACATATTTCTTAGTATTCAATTATAGTTATTAACACTATCAATTATAGCTTTTGGAAAATATGATTGTTTAGGCCATACTGCAATTTATGTTGTAAGAGTTCAGTTTCTTCAATATATCATGTAACCAGATTCATCTTCCTTGTTTTGGTGCGGGTTGAATCCGACATAGTATCAATAAACTGTGAGCTTATTGATGTGTACTCATTTACGCCAATCAGTGTCTGTTTATATGGTATTAGAGTGAGATATTCTTCTACTTCTGTTGTAGTCTTTGACTTGAATGGATATGCTGATAACAAATATGCCATATGATTCATTGTTTATCTTTAAATGAAATTTTATCATTATGGACCATGCTACCATCTTTTTATACATTGATATACACTATGCAACATGCTGAAACAAATGGACAGTTCATAAAGATGATTTAAATGCATAGAAAGTGGATATAACAATTCTTCTAAAACTGTATGTAAGTATTCTTCTGAAACTAGCAAAATCATGTACGGTTCAAACTTAAACTTCAATCCCTAGTGTTTCTTCCCTATGTCATCTTAGCACTAATCAACAATTTAGCTATTATGCATTGGATTTTTTTACTTTTTTAGTCTTGCTTATCTCTAAGATTTAATTTTACTAGATGGTGATTTTAGCTTAAGCAATGTGTCCACGATTAATAGTTTTGGTCTTGTTAGTTTTAAATTGACGATAATGAATTTCCTGCACTTCCACCAGTTAATCTTTGATGTATTGTTTTTACAATGAATGATATAGGAAATCAAGATGTTAGAATAGTGCATCACCAGAATTTGAATAAGAGAATTCTACTAGCATTGATTGCTTCTTCTGCTCTTGCTGGAATCTTCATCTTCTTATTGTTTCTCTTCTTACGGCGAAATAGAAAATTAACAATCTTCGCGAGTAAAAGCCGAGGAACCTTAGGTATTATGGCTTCTATTCTCTCTTTTGAAACTTTTATTTTGATTTTTTTTTAAATCTAAGATATATTATGGACTAGTCAAAATACTTGTAATGGGTTTAATAATCTTAGATTTCTCAATGATGGGAGAAGAATAAGATAGTGGAGGATTGAGTTTGTACATAGCAGAGACAAACCGAGTCATAACAAAGCATAACTAGGAGATGTTGGAGTTACCATTCAACATGACACTTAATTTCCCTACATTGTTTCTTTTCTGTTTCTCATAATGTATGCTTAGCTCATGTAGACATGCCCGCAAGGAACAAAGGAATCACATCATGTAAATCCCCCATCTAATATTCAACTTAGTAATAGTAAAAAATAACACAAATCATGAATCTTAGAATGAGTTCACAACTAAACTAATGTCTCTAAAATTGTAACGTTGACGATCATTGATTGAATATGTTATAGGACCACAACAATCCTCATTTCTAGAATTGTTCTAATCACATGTTTGATTTTTGTTGACAACACAGACTCTTTAACTTAGATAATAGTTAAAACCATGGATAAAAAATGGATGTGTGTCGATCGATTGTCAAAAGAGTACGAGGATGGGGTATTAGAGTTTGTTAAGTTTGCTGTTGAACATGCTGAAGACCCGAATAGAATGAAATGTCCTTGCTTGGGTTGTTGTTATGTGGGTCGGGTTGACGCATATGGATTGAAATCGCATTTACTAATGCACGGAATTGATCGAAGTTATACGTGTTGGATATTTCATGGTGAGAAAAGCATCGAGAATGTTGAACCGTGGGTGAAAAGTAATGCGACCTATGTTT